GAACTTTAATTAAAGATAAATAATAATACAAATACTATCTTCATACCAAGGTTTCGGGTTTAATACATTCATAACTGAAGAAGTTTTGTTAGTTAGCAGGTCCCCATATGCAGGTACTGAGGTCCCTGGGATTCGGGAGGCTACTCAGCTAGGGTTTTTGTTGATATGGTTGGTGCCAATATATTTAGACTACGAGTTTATACTATATACTAAGGGTCGGCATTTCTGGTCTTGGGTGCCGGTTTTCATGTGTACGAAGAGTACGGTCAACACGCTTAGTAAAATAAGATGTACTGAATAAAGACAGAAGGCGAGTTTTTTCCCAAGCGCATGGAATCTAGCGTCAGATTAAGTAGTTATGTAATAAATACTTCGTATTTTTGCTCACTCCAACTTACTAGATCGCCATAACGACTCACTCCTCTACATGTAAACGCCGACCTAAGTGTGTGCTTGCCAGAGGGGTATACCATTTATTGGTTTTGACTGCTCATTTGTGTGCTAAGATATTCACCCAGGCATGATTGGAAATTATTAGTATACGCAACAAGGCCCTTATTGTCACACTATTATACTGTCAAAAAGTCATCCTGTTGTCATAAGTTGTGTCTCAAAAAGTCATACTGAACCTAAAACATCGGCACGAATGTACAGTAAACGATTGCATTTAGTTTTAATTTTAAACTAGATATTATTCACAGCATAAATGGAATCTATTAAATACATACACATGCTATACAGGGTGAGTCTTAACACATTAAAATTTTGATGTATTTTAAAATTTTATATATTGTGTTCTAGTGGACCGATTTTTATTATTTTTTAAGCAATTTGTAGCTAAATTATTTGATTTTTTAGTATCTCTTTCTAAATCAATAATTACATTTTCTATCTTCAAAAAAAATTCCATCTATACGAGAGAAAACAAAATGTTTATATTTTGGTGAAAGTTTCAAGCACCCTATGGAGTATATTAACAAAGCAAGGAATTTAAAAGTCATCTTCATCAGTTCTAGGTGCATCTTTTCTCGATAGTTTGCTTTTTGGTTCATCTCAATAGCTTTATTTTTTTGGGGATATTCGCTTTTGAAGAAGAACATTTTTTTGTAATGTATAACCAACACTGGTGTCGGTGTTGATCTTAGGTGTTCAGGGCCGTTCCTGGCGAGCGTGCAGTGCGTGCACGCACGTAGGAAAAACATTTTGGGAGCGCAAAATCAAAGGGCCAATCAGTACTTTGTAACAAAAAACCGATACGCTTTCTTGCCAATAAACAAATACTTAAACTATCAGAGAATAAAGTTTGCTTAGCGTCTTTTTTGCGTTGGCCGCACCGAGTAAACAAGTTAATAGGGCAATCTGTCGGCAACACATTGATCTCATCTATTTATTTTTCATTTTATTCATTTTATGGAAAGCACTGTTTATTAAAATGTTGTATCCTATTTTATAGGGCTTGTTTCTCTCTACAATTTCCTGTCTCACAATGTACCGTTTGTGTCGGGGGAAGGGATCATAGTTTCATAGTTGTCGATTTTCGAAAGAAATCAGTACATGTATATTATTTCGTATATTTTTTTATTTTATTGATTTTATGGAAAGCACTGTTTATTAAAATGTTGTATCCTATGTTATAGGGCTTGTTTCTCTCTACAGTTTCCTGTCTCACAATGTACTGTTTGTGTCGGGGAAGGGATCATAGTTTCATAGTTGTCAATTTTCGAAAGAAATCAGTACATGTATATTATTTCGTATATTTTGCATTTTATTGATTTTATGGAAAGCACTGTTCATTAAAATGTTGTATCCTATGTTATAGGGCTTGTTTCTCTCTACAGTTTCCTGTCTCACAATGTACTGTTTGTGTCGGGGAAGGGATCATAGTTTCATAGTTGTCGATTTTCGAAAGAAATCAGTACATGTATATTATTTCGTATATTTTTCATTTTATTGATTTTATGGAAAGCACTGTTCATTAAAATGTTGTATCCTATGTTATAGGGCTTGTTTCTCTCTACAATTTCCTGTTTCACAATGTACTGTTTGTGTCGGGGAAGGGATCATAGTTTCATATAGTTGTCGATTTTCGAAAGAAATCAGTACATGTATATTATTTCGTATATTTTTCATTTTATTGATTTTATGGAAAGCACTGTTCATTAAAATGTTGTATCCTATGTTATAGGGCTTGTTTCTCTCTACAATTTCCTGTCTTACAATGTACCGTTTGTGTCCGGGAAGGGTTCATAGTTTCATAGTTTTCGATTTTCGAAAGAAATCAGTACATGTATATTATTTTGTATATTTTTCATTTTATTGATTTTATGGAAAGTACTGTTCATGAAAATGTTGATCCTATGTTATAGGGCTTGTTTCTCTCTACAATTTCCTGTCTCACATTGTACTGTTTGTGTCGGGGAAGGGATCATAATTTCGCAACATCATAAAACACATTTCAACACATCATAAAAATTGTGTTTATTTATTTTATGCATTTTCTTTTATTAATATTTTACATAGCGTTATAAATTTCCAGGCCTACACTTCATACCTTTTACATGATTACTAAAGAATCGACAAGTTAAGAATAGACCATCATTAGTTGATTATTTAAGCAATATTCTTGTTTACGTTGTAAAATAGAGGCGTGATTTCAGGACAAATTAGCTTTTCCCGATAAACGTCCGCTTCAGTTCTGAATAAGATATAATGCCACGCTTGTTGTGAGCATTTCCTCTAGGAAATAATAGAATAATGTTGCATTGTGTAGTTCTGCATATACGGAGAATGCAATTTCTGTCTGACGAAGGTGAATCAATAGAACGTGAGCTTGTTTTTATCTTTTAAAATTAAAAATAAATTATACAGTATGTCTCCGGATGGTCTTTACCAGATAAAAAACTTTTTTATTATTGATAATAATTGATTTTATTAAGTATTTTCTTAGTATTGACGGACATAATTTTCTCAGTATTGACGGAAAGCTGTAATTGTGTCTTGACTGTCTTTCCAAAAAAATCCTGTATGGGTATTTCGCCACTGCACTGCAAGAAAATCTACAAAATGAAATAATTATTTTTTGTAAACACTTCTGCGTTAAACCTAAACGGACGCTGCTTGTCAGAAGTTATGTTTACGGTAATACAAATTTGCCTAACAAAGCAAAAAAAAATGCTTAACGTTTCGGAAAGTTATCTCTTTCCGTCGTCGGAAGCAAAAAAATACAAAGAATAAAGAAAAAACTATTTAAAATATTTAAAGTCAACTATTCGAGAACACTTTACTTTTTTAAAACAGATACGTCTACAAGAAACCGTTGACGTTCTGTTAAAAATAATTAATTTACATTTTTTTTTATTTTAAAATTTTTTTATTTAATTTATTTTTTTTTATTTTATTTTTTTTATTTTTTTTTTTTATTTTTTAATATATTTTTTAATTTATTTATTTTTTTATTTATTTATTTGTTTTTATAAAACGTCAACGGTTTCTTGTAGACGTATCTGTTTTAAAAAAGTAAAGTGTTCTCGAATAGTTGACTTAAAATATTTTAAATAGTTTTTTCTTTATTCTTTGTATTTTTTTGCTGCCGACGACGGAAAGACATAACTTTCCGAAACGTTAAGCATTTTTTTTGCTTTGTTAGGCAAATTTGTATTACCGTAAACATAACTTCTGACAAGCAGCGTCCGTTTAGGTTTAACGCAGAAGTGTTTACAAAAAATAATTATTTTATTTTGTAGATTTTCTTGCAGTGCAGTGGCGAAATACCCATACAGGATTTTTTTGGAAAGATGAATCCGCCACAAGGTATAGACATTTTTTACAATTCAGGTATTTGACTGTCTTATGTCGACTGACTTGTCAGTATCTAAGTTCGTCATGTTTTGCCTCATATAGTCATAAATTAGAACCTTGTGAAGCTTGCTCTAATTCTGGACCTGACTTTTAAAGTACTTTTTACGACAGTATTTTGTGTTATAGAGTTATAAAAAGTTAGACATTTTAATATATAAAATGTAATTAAAAGTTTTTAGTGTACATCTATTGATATACTTTATACGGTTTGGAAGTTTTTATTAGAGTGACACGAAAAGTTAATTAATGCTGGTAACGCTGTGTACTTTTATGGAGCACTTGAATAGACACGGGTAAAATTTTTTAAAAAGCGTATGCTTTTTAGTAGAAAAGTTAGTTATCCGGCTTTTTAATATCAAAAGCAAGAGTTAAAGTGCATTTTTTTCTCCAGTGTTGGCGCTTTTGACGCTTAATGGTTCTCTTGTGTCTCTTCATTCTTCATATTTAATTCCATCAGTTTTGGGTAATATCATTTTAGACTATAAAAATATGATACTTTGACTTAATTTATTATTATAATAAAAACGAGTTACTTATGGAGTAAAATGTGTAGCAATTATAGTAACTATAACCCTGAAAATTTCATTCCAATCGCTATAAGCACTTGAAAGAAAATTATAATAAATAAAAAAAATAATTATTTTTTTTTTAGACTTTAACACCCTGTAGCTACGAAACAAAGTAGAATCGGACCTATGTTGATACAAAAAATAAATATTTTATTTATATGTGAGGAATCTCTCAACGAGAGATGGCACATGTTTTTTGAAACACCCTGTATATCGCTGAGATGTAATTATTACTTAAAAGGGTGTTACTTTTTATATTATTTGCGACTTTTGAAATTGTTTAAAAAATTATTAATTATTTGTGAACGTTCTTTGAATGGAGTGAAACGTACTTTTTGTACCTTTCCATGAAACCTCGAAAAAAGCCGTATCAACACCAACATCAAACGTACAGGCTCGCCGTAAAAATATCGTTTTTACTCCTAATAAAACAATATACGTACTATTTTTTTATTTTATTTTTTTTGTCATAAAAAGAGACATATTTCGATTTATAACTTATATGATTTAAAATACTGCTAATTTTATTATTTGTTATAATTTATTGTAAATGAATTGTGTATTTTGTTCCAGGGCTTTAATGCTTCAACAGAAGAACCAAGAAGGAAAAGACCAGAGGAGTCTAAACCAAATCATGTTCTTCTATTTACTATTATAAATCCCATGTATCCTATTACAGTGGTAAGTCTTGTTTTTTTTTAATATTCTTAATACTATAGATTGGTTAATTCGTATTAACTATTATTGTGCTTATGTGTTTATATCTAACTTATAATTATTTTGCTTTTGAATATAATATGTTAAAGTAAAAACAATAAAACCTATTTTGAAATATAATACAGTAGAATGGCTTATTTCGGTGGTTAAGTTGGATCACTTAATATAAAATAATTTTTAAAAAAAATTCTAATATATTATTTAGATAACTCATAACTTTCAAGTAATTAAATTTTATTTGAAAATAACTATCATTATCAAATTTAACTATCATATAATTGACATATCATTCCTCTAAAAAAATATTCGATTATATCACCAGTAGGGTTTCCAATTTTCGGGATCGGGATCCCGTTTTGAAATCCTGGGATATGAACCTATAATACCGGGATTGACTATCAGAGACTAAATAAAAGACTAATTAATAAAAATTCAGCTACATATCATGTCAAAAAGAACATGAGAAAAGAGCTTTATTAAAATAGACAAAACAAAATAACATTCATATTTAGTAAGTAAAAAAATACAATTCTTGTTGTCTGATATCTCAAGGATGTAGCATTTGTGCCACTAAGGGGTGATTTATCTGCTATAAAGTTAGTCACGAAAAGGCTTAGGGTAAGGCGATTGTTTTAGAGACAGGACAAATCTTCTTGATGAGGTCTAGAGGATCAAATGCATACGAGAAAAGCTAATGCCGTTTTTTGAGACAATGGATGTGTCGTGGTTATTATTTAGATATGTTATAAATCGTGAAAACATTATATATGTATTTCTTAATTGGTTTGAACAAATACCATTATAATATTAATGGTATTTGTTCTTTTGCAATCAGTATACCGGATGCGTCTCAAAAGTGGCTCACCCGTATAACTTTTTTATTTTTTTAGATAAAACAACGAGATTTGGTTGTAGATATGTGATGTTAGTATATGACATAAATTGGCATTGATTGACGTATTCAATTGTCTTCGGTGACTTCCGGTTTCACCGGAAACGACTACAACTTTTGATTTTTAAATGGTACCCTCGGTATTTTTTTACTTTATTCGATAGAAAATGATACTCTGAATCGAATGACATATCATATGTCAACTTTTGACTTAGTCACTCAAAAACAAATTGTATTTTAAATTTCAATCTAGTGTGCCATGGCTGTGTTAAAAACATTAAATTTTAATCAAGGAGCCTTAGACAAATAGATTTGATCGTCTAATGTTTTTAGTGTCTTGTCCTGGCCGGTCAAAAGATACCCAAATCGTATTTTTAATCATATTTCAAATGGAATGAGGGTGGTTCATTCGCTCATTAGTATATTTGGAAAAATCATTTTTTTACGAATCATTTGATACCACACACTTGGTATTTCGAGTCAAATTGTCGTTATGAACCGTATGTTACAATGTCAAAAGTAAAAAAAATTGACATATGATATGTCATTCGATTCAGAGTGTCATTTTCTATCGAATAAAGTAAAAAAATACCGAGGGTGCCATTTAAAAATCAAAAGTTGTAAGTAACCGAAAACAATTGAATATGTCAATCAATACTAATTTATGTCATATACTAACATACCAAATCTCGTTAAATAAAAAAGTTATAGGTGTGAGCCACTTTTGAGACGCAGCCGGTATACTTAATTGTATTTAGGTCTCTTACGTTTTTATGGCAATTTTACAATTCAAAACCTTACACTTTTTTGGCAATAAGAATTAGTTAATAGTAGCTAATATCAGAGAGCCAGGTGCAACTATTTCGCGTTGTAGAAAAGGTTGCTAATGAAAATAATGATGCATATTCTAGCGAGTTTATAGAAATATGATTCATGTATCCAGTTTTTGATAATGAAAAAGATGATGAGAATTTTGATAGTTCCATGTTTGTGGTATACCAGAATGGCACTGGAAAACACTGGTATAACATTGTTTGAAATATGAAATAAGAGTTTTTACACTGCGTGTTTTGATATAAATATGTTGAAGATATAGATGAAGGTACTGTAGAGATGAGTAGCTCCGGATGGATACGAATCCGCAAATCTCTCTCGGTGCTAGTACTGATTGATGTAGATATTACTGAATATCGACCCCATCCGCGGAACTGCATTGCTGACAGCCAACCGACCAGGTCGTTGGCGGATAGCGAAGACATAACGATGCAGCGAAATAAATCAATATTGGAGAGTATTGGAATAAGGAGGGAACTATGACTGCTGTTGAGCTGCATTTACTGTTTTTTAAATTTACTTCATACCATTAATGGTTTAATACGGATATACCCATCTCTAGAAGGCGGACAGATATATAATAGATATTAATAAAACCATAGAGATATAGTAAAAATTAATTACATACTTTGTTTGTTGTAATGGTGTCATAATGGAGAAAGAGTTAATCATAATGCCAGAAAGGAATTTTGAACAATGGTATGATTTATATAGAAATTATTAGAATCGGAATACTTTATAGAGTAACTTAAACCTACCGGATAATCGAAAAAAAACGGCGTCAAAGATTGGGGAATGGAATTCGATGATTTTGAATGATTAATTTTTAAAAAAGAATCGGACACACAAATCTATTTCCAAAAAAAAAAATTCTGGAATTTTAAACTACACCATTTTTACTAAATACAAAAATAAATTACAACCATCTTAAGGCCAACTGGCAGTAAGCGCCATTAAAAAATAAAGAAGACTACGGACCAAGTAATGACGTCTAGGGCTTGACCTCGCCAAAATTATTATCGATTCCCATTCCCCAGCCGTCTTTGGTCGTTTTTAGGGTTCCGTACCCAAAGGGTAAAAACGGGAACCCTATTACTAAGACTTCGCTGTCCGTCCGTCTGTCACAAAGGTCTATCTTATGAACCGTTATAGTTAGACAGTTGAAATTTTTACAGATAATGTATCTATGTTGCCGCTATAAGAACAAATACTAAAAACAGAATTAAATAAATGTTTATAAATAAAAAAGTACTTTCACTAAATATTACCTTTTAAGTAAGAATTTTACATAGAATCTTTCAAGTCCTCGGTGGCCGCGTGGTTTAAAGCGTTATGACTTTACGCTGCTATGACGTTGGAGCTGTAGTAAGGCAGTTTCGAATTATTAGTCAAGGCGACTTTTTTTTAATCGTTTTTTTTTATTTTTACATATTTATTTTTACTTTTTACATATTTATTATTGATTAATACAATTTTTAGTAATGTGTTTCTTCATTTTTTTTTAAATTACCGTAAAATGGGGTGAATAGAAACATAGTGGTGAATAGAAACAACATTTCTGAAAAAAATCAAATCACGATTAAAAATATTCAAAGTAAAAAGAGTCGACATATCTAATTTTTCTATCATTGGTAATACATAATAAAATGTAAAAACTATATTTTTATCTGTGGCAGCACTGTTTCTGTATTTCCAATTACCAATTATTTTTTTCTAAACAATAATTATTTATTGATTTATCTTAAATGGGACAGCGTCAGTGATATATTAGGTATATTCTGATATGTTTAGAAATATATTTGGAGTACATTAACATCCTATTTGTCACTGTCCGAAATACATGCTTCGTATAAATCAATTTATTAATCTAAAGGTACCATGAATAATGTAAGTTGGTTAATTATGGATCTGGTTGACAATGATGGATTTGATATTATTTTTATTTCTAGTTCTTATCGGATTCGGCGTGATAGTTTAACCATTCGATAAAAAATAGATACTTACAGCTACCTAACTTCGTACGGTAGGGATATACAAAGTTAATTTTTTTCTTTATTTTTTTAATTTAAATTTAATTTTTTCATTTTTCAAATAGATATTTTTCAAAAAAATAATTTACTAATATTCGCAGTAAACAGTGGATATTAACAATAACAATATATTATTATTCTTAAATTAATTTTTGGTGACATTTAGGTTCCGAAAACACTGAAATTATGTTTTCATCTTGTTTAAAAAAAACTTTATTTAGTCTATAGACAAACGTTTCGGCCCCCAATACAGACTTCATCAGTGTTACCTGTATCATACAAAAATTAATATTCATAAACAGATAATCTATCACAGCACAATGACATGATTTTCACTAAAGTTTTTCGAACAGTATAAATTTGTGCAAGAAAAAGAGAAATACCTGAGACGGTTGGAAGCTTTTGAAATGTGGATCTACAGAAGACTCTTGAAAATACCCTGGACAGATCATGTACGCATTGTACGAGGTTCTTGGGAGGCTTAACAAGGAAAGGGAATTACTTGCAAATAGAAAAAAAAAACGAAAGACAGCATACCTGGGCCATGTCATGCGCAATAGTAGAGCAAAGCTTCTGAAGTTGATTATACGAGCCCTAACAACTATATGTTGGGACAAGGTCTTTTTTTGCAATAAATATAGTAATTTGTTAAAACGACTCAATTTATTTTGTTTATTATTCTAAATTCAAACATTACAATATGATCTAGACAATTTTACTATATTTTTAAACTTTGCAAACAAATCACTTTTGATAATAGCTTATTTTGCCAAAATCAAGCCAAATTTGCTATATATTGGGACAGCACAACAAGAAATTTGTTTAATACGGAGTTACATCACCTTTCGCCTTAACAACTGCCTGAACTCTTAATGGCATTGTATTTACCAAAGATTGGTACATTTGAGGAGAAAAATTATTCCAAATTTCCTGCAGTTTTGTCCGCAAATCAAAAATTGTTCGTTGAGGGTGGTTTCTTAAATATTGCTTCATTTTATGCCACACAATATCTATAACATTGAGGTCCGGACTACTTGCAGGATGGGATAGAACTTTTATATTATTATTACCGAACCAATTTTTAGTTGATTTTGCTGAATGGCACGATGTTCCATCTTGTTGGAAAATATAGTCTTCGTTAGGAAACAATCCTTGAGCACTAGGCAAAAGTGAGGTCTCAAGTATATGTTGATATTTTTGGGCGTTAA